AGCAGAAATAAATTGTGGTTTCGGGTATTTTAAAACCCATCACCAAATGAATATGTGCTTTATACTCTACAACAATTTACGAAAGGTTAAACAAATCGAACCGGAAATATATTACTCATTTCGGATTTTAAACAAATATTAAGGGGAAAGAGAGAGAGAAAGAGAAATACGCACACAATCAAAAACTTTGTTTCGTTAACCAAAAATGAATGTTTTGAATAGCCATGCACTTTGGTTGCAAAAATTTTCTACGACTATTTTGTGGCATACTATTTTTGTTTGGACATTGACTAAACTCGAAAATCTTATCGAAATAATGCTGGCAAATGGAATGTTCAAAAGTTATCCAGCTACAGAATGCAAAACACATTTTTCTAGTCAGAGGCAGCATTTTACAGTAAAATGTCATTTTGGTTGCAGTGGTTTTTCTTTTCTATAAATAACAGTTTGTGTGCTCGTATGCATGTTCATATGTGTATGTGATTGATTTGGCAAACGCCACTTCGATATCAAACATGACGGTCGGTGCACATACGCATTTTGCATTAAATTGAGCAGTAGCACGGACAGCGCCAACACCACCACCATATGTGATTAATGAAGTCGATAAAGATGAATGAATTTAAACATCCAATGTATGTATGCCACATAGTACAGGTGCAACCTATTGAAATATTACATTAAATATCAATATGAAATATTTTTCGTAGCATCGGATTTTTTAGCTGAATAAATATTTCTTTGATTCTGGATTCGAATGGTATTTGAACAGTCTAGAGTCTAATGATTTAATAAAATAAGGAAAGTCACACATCTGTATTATTGATTTTGCATTACCCCGTGTTTGAAAAATAATATGGAGTTTTAGCCAATGGATGCTGTCATTATAAATCGTTTGACGTTCAATTGATTGCCCGAGAATGAAAGCGAGACTTCTATTCACAACTTATTGAAATGTAACACCACCATACAAAATAGTTGTGAATAGAAGTCTCGCTTTCATTCTCGGACATTCAATTTTAATTTTATAAAATCTACTGTTTTCCTGGATCCTGCTCACACCTTTTTTACTGCGATCAGAACAAATCCAGCTAACGAACGATGGGAAAATGAATTAAATATAACTTACCGATGTTCACAGAAAAAAACGGTGAATATTGATGCGATGACCGAAAACATTACCTCGATAGTGATCACTCGATGTACAAAACGAGACTTTCAATGTCAAACATGTATTTATCCGATCTATTTATTAACCAGTCGATTCGAAATCAACGATTAATTAAAAGAATATATGTTTAAACGGTAAGTGTCGCTCTTTTAAGTGAATTTTATTTATTTTATTGATTTATTTAATATTCCTAATACAATATTCATTTAGTTTTTAGCTGTTTGTTTCGATCTATAATGATAAATTGTAATTGTTTGGTTGTTGTTGTTGTTTTTTTCCTAACTGGTGATGTTGCTTAACTGCTTAATTTATTAAATAAAAAACTTGAATTAAAAATGAAATTTAAAGAAAACTATGTTATTTGAGAGACAAATGAAAAAACTAAACAAAAAACAAAGAGTTCCCAAATGGTTGAATTGCGGACTTACACGGAGTATGAACGGAGCTGTGCGGAGATAGACGAGAATTGTATTAAGAATATGCGTACGCATAGTAACCATTGCGCGCACACTAATTTACTTTCATCCAATTTACTCTCATCCGTTGTATGCTGTTTTCGTCTATCTCCGCACAGCTCCGCTCATACTCCGTGTAAGTCCGCTATTTAACCATTTGGGTTCTAATAATAATAATAATAATAGGGAGAAGAACGTTCTTTTGTCGCTCGATTTCATGTTTGTTCTATCAAATGGACGAAAAATCTTATCTTTAATTTTGATCAAAAAAAGAGTCTTCAAGAGTTACAATTCTTAAGAATGCTGCAATTTTATGCCTATCGATACTACCGAAATATTTTCGTTTCAATTTTTTTTTGCATTTGATAAAATTTGATAAAATCCATTTAGTTGTTTTTTTTTGTATTTATTTGTAATTGATCATTAATATTTCACAACGAATTGCATTTTATGTGATATGCATGCGATGTGAACTGTGAATCAAATGGAACAAAATTCCTCGACAAATTTTCGGTCGAATGATCATTGTGTATGTGTGTGTGTGAGAGAGTTTGTCTCGTATTAACATCAATTTGATGTTCAACGCATTTGTATGTATATGTTTTATGTATATATTGAAACAATGTTCAAAGGTTAGAAGAGGCCGAGTCTATTTAACATGCTGCAGCATCCTTCAACTTATTTTAAAGCTGAACGATAAAGTTTGCCTTCATCTGGTAATGCGTATTACGTTATTATTTACTTACTAAGTTCAGCGTTTCAATACAGAGCATGTGTATGTATGTTGGTGCATTGGACAAAGAAAACACAAGCAAACAAACAAACAGCGGTATCGTATAGATGATACAAATGCACTTTTAAAAGGAACATTCATTGAACGAACATTTCCGATTCAATTAAATCATGTTGATGTTCTCACTCACTCACTCTCTCTTTGTCTCACTTACTGTGTGTTTTTGTCGTCTTTATTCGCAAAAGCAAATCGGCAGAAAAATAGCTGGACTTTCGCACTTGATACGTAATGTAAATTGTAGAACAAGACATGAATTAGTCAGAATAAGTGAGTCACACACACACACATGGAGACACACAGAGAGAGAGAGAGTGAGACCGAGAGAAAAAGTTGAATCTCAGTCAGCGGAACATCTTTTGCAAAGTGCAAAATTTTGAGAATTCCATGAATTTGCTGGTGAAAGTGATTCTTGCTTGCTTCAACACAAATCTCCAGATTAAAATCACTCTCATCTCATAAAATTTATCCGGTTATTTTAGCACGCTCAAATCGTTTGTAATGCTTCATTTGTCTTTTCTCGCAATTTTGTCCAAAGTCTTGATGAAAAAAAATGATGCTTAATGAAGATTTTCCATTCATTTTTCTTTCTCTATCTTCATCCCCATTCGAAAAAAAAACATTCTACAGTTTTTGTTATAATGATATTCGTGCGAATAAAATGAATCACGTAGCATAATAACTATAAAGTTTTTGATGTCAAAAAATTGAAATGGAAATTGAATGGTACGAAAGAGTGCAGAGATTTCCGAAAAAAGATAGATTAATTTGCTCTCTTTTCTATGAAAAATATGGAAATTTCTTTTCGTTGCACCTCGATTATTGCGATTGCATCATGCATTTTCTGGTATCACGCATAAAACTTTGTCTTGATAAGCTCATTAGTGCGTTGATTTGCCGATGTGTTTCTGTATGGAATGTATGCAATTCGCTTCTTTTGCTTTTCCTGCAGTTCTGATGATGATTTTCATTAAGTTAAATTCATTCTCAGCTCCACATATAAGGTATGTCGAATTTCGAATGAAAAAAAAAAAAAATGTATATCAAGCTATCAAAACTAAAATTAAAATCATAAAACACAATATAAAAATGTATAAATTACAAATTAATTGTTAAAGTTTAAAATATATTTCCGCTTCTCTGGATTTATTTTATAATGTTGTTGTTGGTTGGTTTTTTTTTCTTCCATTAATTACACATATTGAATTTATATATCGCATTATATATATATTTACTTATATATTTTGGTTGCATTTCAGTATACACAAATGACATGTAGAACTAGAGTGGGACGTTATCAGAGAATTATCAGCCAAAATGCTCGACGACAATACTATTTATCAGAGCATATACTTAGCATAGATATATATCCTGGATATTTTGTCAGTATCCGATATTCATTGGAGCCAGACTTTGAAATAGAGTAAAAACAATAGAAGTTATTGTTATAGTGATTGTAGTAATGTAAATGGTTTTATACTTAGACAATCACTTCTATTGTTTTCACTCCATTATAATGTCTGGCTGCGATACTCACAAAATATCCCGGATATATATCTATGCTCAGTATATGCTCTGCTATTTATTCGATATTTTGCATCACAATAATGATTTGCAGTGATATATTGAAATTTGCGAGAGAGAAATAGTGTGTGTGCATGTATATACTATATATTTATTTAAAAAAATCGAATGACGAATTTTTAACAAACATGATAATGACACTAACATATTTCTATGCGCGCTCTAGTGTATACGTCCAACAAAAAAGTGTATTCGGAATTGATGTGTATGCGTGTGTGTGTGTGAGAGAGTGGTTTTTGCTTAAAAGTCAAATACATATATTTTGTTTTGAATCTTGTTTTGTTTGCAAAATGCTTAAGTCCAGCTGTGTTGAATACAAACTATTGTACAAATTATCGAAATAATCGGTTGATTGAACTTAGTTGTTGCATCATGTAAACTAAATTTCCAACCGAGAATGTGTGAAACTTTGGTTGTCATTGTGTTTATATGTTGTTGTTGTTTTGTTTTTGTCTTAAAAAATAGAAAAAATGTTCGGTATGGAATATGCTGATCATAAAAAGCGGTTTGAAGCCACAAAATCCTTAGCAAGAGGTAATAATATAAATTGTAAAAAAATATTCGAAAGCCGAATAATAATTGAAAATAAAATCGCATATTTTGTTTGAATTATTAAAGGCAATGAGTGAGAAAACTGCTTTTCCTACATAAATTTCTTTCGAACTCCATTTTTATTCCCTATTAAGAAACGATTAATTTTTTTTTGTCTCGCATCAACTTTCGACTGATTATTGCTTGAAAATATCCAATACAAACGAAAAATTGACATTGTTAATCGTTTCGCCATTCGGTATAGTCAATATCTGTGTACTACTGTACTGTTTTGATTCACAATTGACTTTTACCTATTTAATTTGAATATTCATTTTATTGGTTATGTTTCGTTTTCTCCGTTTTGGACAAGCATTTGAATTTGATTCAAATTGTTTAAGCACTGTATACTGCTTTTTCACGTTGGAAAAAAATTATAAATTACATTTCTAAATAACACGCTCACACAATTAAATATATTATTTTAATGGAACATACCGACTGGATACAACATTTTCAATAAAATGTCAACTTAAAATTGCATTCGAATTTTGATATTCATTAAGTTAGTCGATATTGGTTCAATAAAGTGCTTTACTGTTTTACAATCACGCGTATCCGAATCGTTTGGCTTCAAAAAAAAATTGCAGTATCGTTCACATATCCCAGCAAACAGCACAGATATAGTGTGTGTACAAATAAGGAGCATACCAAAATTCCATTTTCTCACATTTATTGAATATTATGATGTTGTGTACGGATTTTGAGAGCATAAAAAACGTCATGTATTTTATAGGATTCATTTCAGTTTTGATTCGATCGGTTTTTGTTCATAATATTTCGGCAATTCATTTACAAGTTATCCAACTGAATTGGTTTTGCTGTCCCATACAAATGTATTCAGAGAGAGAGACACAGGGAGATATTTCATTTTGTAAAACTATAGCAATAGATCATGAATACATTAAATTTGAAAATTGAACATGATAATATTTTCGGCAAGTGTTTTACAGCTTCATACAAATGTAAATGGTAGAACATTTCTATTGAATGTTTATGGGTGGTGGACAGAGTGCTACATTTAAATGTAACATTTGTCGAAGTAACAAGAGAGATAGATAGGGAGGAAAAAAAAACAATAACATTGGTCTGCCGTATCACTGTGGGCAATACAAATCCGATGGCATCGCTGTTGTTGCTGCTGTTACACAGTTTTGTGACACTTTACAAAATTTTCATTCGGAAACATTCCAAAACACAAAGCATACCATACAAATCACATGAATTAGATTGAATGAAGTTTATAAGTGTATACTAGAAAATCGGTCGTGTGCAACAATAAAAACATACATTGAACATTACGCACTGAAAATCACCACCATCATGCATTCGATGCACGCAATTGCTCGAGAGAGAAATTCTAGATTTATGTTATTTAATTTATGACGTTAACCCACTCGATGCTTTATTGCCATTTTGCGATGATCTGTTTCATCATCTTCGTTTCGACTCTCTCGACGTCATCGTGTGACTTGTCCCATTCTTTGCAAAACACGACAGACGTGTTTGATGATGCAGTGGAATGAGAGAATGAATCAACGAATGAGCAGATAGAGAGAAAAGGATTGAAACAAAAAAAAAAAACTGAAACATTTCATTCATTTCAAATGGGAATATTTTATTGAAGTTTATGAATGTAGACGACGCGAGCGCATGTACACACGACTGAGCACGGTAAAAATTCTGGATTTTGAATGTGAACAGTGAACAGAATTACAATTAAATCTTATTTTAAATCGAATGAATAAATCTAGGAAAATATGATAAGCAAAATAATGGTAATATACCTTTAAGTTTGCGGTTTTTTGTTATATTTGAGTTTTTTTTTCTTCTCATCTTCTTTCAGCCGAAAACCATTCCAATTGAATTTTGTATTCGCAACCGAACAGCATTCGTCAACATAAGCTATTTGGATTGAGATCTGATTCAATAAACCATTTGGTTAGAGCTATTTCAACTGTTTTATAAAGTGGTCAATTTTAAATGAAACACTACGGATATATAATACACAGACATATAGTATGAAAAGATCTGCTGCAATTCAATTTAACGAAGCCATTCGATACTATTTATAGAGTTTGATTCATAGTTTATTCTCTGTGGAATTCTATCAGTATGCCGTAACAGAAAGCACTATTATGATCTATTGAAATATGTATATGCTTCAAATGAATATCAAAATTCGAGCTGGTTTTTTTACATTTTCTTTAAAAAAAAAATTAAAAATTTGTCATAAGACATTTAAAATTAAAATGGAATTCCATTGATTCAAATATTATCGCCAACGACCGAATAGAAATGAAAAGTGTGCAGTTTCTGTTTATTGACACATTTCTTCTTTTTTCTTTTGTATTGTGATTGCAATTTTTTTTGTCGTTAATCATATATTTTTTTTGTTTCTTACATTTTCAGTGTTCTACTTTGTTTCTGTCTTCATTTAATTATCTTTTAGTTGGTTGTGGTTGCTGTTCTCCTTCTTCTTCATGTTGTTGTTATTGGTTTTTTTTTGTTTATTTACGCTATACGATTCTTACGCCTGATTTTGCTTACACCAAATTCTTTGCAACTATTAGCATTACGATGTTTGCAACAAGTAAAATTGCTGTTGTTCGAATTCCATCAAATGGTTGGCTGCTTCCAGCTGTTACACGTATGTCACTATCGACCAAAAATGGATGGTCAATAACATGAATAATTCCATTTGTACATTCGACATCTGGCCGAAAGACTGGTATATTTCGATGATTCCACTGAATAGAATAGCCTATAGAAAATGAACGGAAACAAAAATAGAAGTGAAATGGTAGTGGGTGAAAAAGGAGAATAAAGTGGGGTTTTGATGTGGATACAGTCAATGATATATCAATGAAATACATAAATTAAATGTAGTCAAGTTGTAAAAAAAAAGTTGAACCAGAACTCATCGAACCCTTGAACAAATCAAGCATCACATTGATGATTTTATTACCATATGAATTGCGTGTATCCGACCAATGTGTACATGGTAGAATTTGTACGGATCACGTAGTTGAAATCACTCAATGCAGATACGCCCAGAGACATATGTTGCGGTCATGGTAACAAACCGATTTCAATATGAAATTCGTGTCATCTTCACATCGAATGAAATACTTGACGTGTCAAGAATCAATGCGATCAAATATTTATTGTTCAATTTGATTTTCAAATAGTTCAATCATTGAACTTCAATGATTGTTATTTATATTGAAGATATTCCGATTTTTTTTTTTACATTCAAGAAAGACTGAAGTTGTGATTGATCTTATTTCACCTAATTATATATAAATAAATTGAAATAAATGCTTAATTAACACTTGTCAATAAATTGTCGTCGTTGTGTTTTTCCGAATTGTTTACATCATCTACATTGTTTACGATAATTTCAAAAGTCAGACTATATTTTGGATGTTTTTCTCGTCGCTAATGAAAAAAAATGTATTGGATTATTACCAAAAATTCTACAGAAAACGTGTTCGAATATTATTATGGGCTCAAATGTGTGAACTTCGATGCTCTTGACCACTAGTGTCAAAATCTTTATCAACGTCATCGCACACACGCACCGCTACCGCCTAAAACTGAACCGAGGAAAGCTGATACGGCATATGTCAATGTCATTGCCATCCATTTATAAATGGATCATGAAATAATACTTGTTTATCCAATTTCATTGAGAGATAAAAATTCGTCAAAACAGAGTCAGCTTTACATACATTCGTACATTGGATAATGTCCTAAATACATTATGCGGGTAATATTAAACCAAACGCACTTTTTTCCAAAAGGACCTAAATGTGTTGATTGATTTTTTTTTGTTAATTTAAACGTTCATCGAATGACGTGTTTCATGAAATGTTCATTTGACAGGTTTGTTGGCTTATATGAATCGAATATATCATGGCTAATTACAAATTTACGCCACAATAACCATTAATATCGATTGCGATTGTGTCATTTAAATGTTATTAAACTTTGTTAATCAAATTAGATAAGCTTTGCACGTGTTCATATTTAGCTTGACGATAGGAAAGCGTTGAGCACATTTTCGTTCTAGTTTTCCGTTGCAAATGTTGTGCATTGAATTAAGGTCAAAACAGGTGTACAATTTTAAAAAAACGCGTTAATTGCGTTAATATTTCAATCAACACCAATCGGTATAAAAGCATCACACAGTGCATTAGGAAGTGCTGCGAAGTTGATAAATTAAATTCTCATTAACCTAAGTGATAGTGCAAATGCATATTACATGCTGAATTGAGCAAGTACTAGTCAAATCATTAAGCGTAAAGGAACGATAGAGAGAAGTGTAAATAGTCGAGAACATTTCAAATCTATTTGCGGCCAAAATGAACATTCACCCATTCACTACATCCAGGTATACGAATGTATACGAATTTATAAACATAAAATAGCAGAACTAAGTACAACGTACGAATCATGTGAAACATCTGAATTTATCAAAATGTGAAAAATGGTTCAGTAAATAATGCATTAATGTCAAAACAATTTTCAAGAGGGGAAGTTTAATTTGCAAAACTCTAATTTTATCTGGGATAAATTTCTGGTCAAAATTGACGACCAAAAAAGTTCCACACTATTTTCAACAAAAATCTTAGCAACTCGAAAAAAATTCAAAACATTCATTCTAATAAAAAGTTCTTGATTCCATTCTGAACCCTAGCAATTTGAAAGAAATTTTCCCTCGTCAAAAACCTAAGAAGATATTTTCGTCTAAAACCCAAGAAAATATTTTTGACAAAAACTCTAGCAAATCAAAACAATTTTCTGAATCTTAGAAAGGGGCAAACCTAGCTTCCATTAGTTACTGCATTTTGGAAACACTATTATCAAGTGGCATACACTCAACACTTGCAGAACCGAGCATGTTGGACGCGTCATTGTTGACTATTTCAATTTCCTTTTACATACAAGCATCGACTTAAGGAACATTGAACTATCAAACGGAACGTGAACTATTCTTAATTAAAGCAATATTTGAAATGGCTCTTGTATATATTAAATCAAATGAAAAATAATTGCATATTTTACATATTCACCAATTTATATACATTGTTTGAATGGAAGTGGCCTGAATAGGCTGTTTGAGTGTAAATCTTCACTCAAGATTATTTCATCTTAAATGAAAAGCAAACGATGAATGTTCACCGCATACAGAGCAACGCATCTCTCTATCTATGTGTGTTTGCTCGTTGCATTAAATAAACCAAATGTCACTAGAAATGTCAGCTCAAATTTTCTTATAAAAACGAATGGTCAAAATGCAATGTCTGTCTATATGGAGAGTTTTCGATGTTTGATGTCATTTCAAGTCGAAACTTTCGTTCGTCATACAAGTAGAGTCGTACAATTTTTTCTCATCTCCTATCTCAATTTTACAATTTGTCAGCTATGTCATTGTGCAGTGATTTTGTGATCAGATATGAAAGTTATGTGGAAACTTGCATCACATAAACTGAATAAATTGACTTGAAAAGCATAAAAGCACGCGTTGAATTTACATTGACAGCAACTGTACTCAAATTGAAAACACATTTCGATTTTTCATCATATTCTAAGATCCTATTGAATCCTATTGAAATGTATGTTATGTTTATGTAAGTTTTTATTTTTTTTTATGTTTACATTTCAAGACAAAATGTTGCACGCAACTTGACTACAAATTTTAACATATTTCATCATAGAATATTGAAGTAATACATGCATATATGCAAATCCATTTACTATTCGGTTACTTACGTTTTCCATCTTCTCTAACTCGTATGGTGAGTGCGTCTCGAATCGTTGGTAAAACTATCGAATCGTTGCCCATATTTCGAAGATCAGCCATAGTGAAAGCTTTGTCCGAAATCACTAAATGTCTTTCCAAAACCAAGCGAGCCTGCAAAGAAAAAATAGCAGAAAATTTGGGGTTTCATTAGCTATTGATTTGGGGGGAGGAGGGCGGAACACAAGCATAATAGAGTAAATTCGTTGTTCATTCATGTTAATGGCAATGAAAATAATACTGCACAGGTGATTGGAGCGGTAGAAGGGTATGCTTTCTTATTTAATTAAGAGCGCACAATGTTCTCGAAATAAAAATGTTTTCTTTTCAGTTTCACGCACAATAGAGCCAAATTATGGCCATTATATTCGATTTGGTCTTTTGCTTTGGATTTTGGCCAATGCGAAATTATCAATTAAGAAATTGATATCGTTAGATGTTCGTTGCCTTCCTGATGTTAATAATAATAAAAGTGAACAAAAGAACGTCGAAATGCATTGTTGAAACTCATTCAAATTGCCGTTCGCATGTTTTTCTCGTCGGTCAAATAAATTCATTTTTGTACGGTTGCTGTGGTTGTTTTCGATATTCCATCAATGCTACGATTTTATTTCGATCGCATAGATTCATCGGTTTTTGTGGAATCGATTTTAATTAATTCGATCATCTGTGCTACACATTCACAGAAACATATGAACAAAAATCAATTCTTGACTGTAACGAGCACTTGTTTAATTTTCTGCTTCTTGCTTTGGCATCTGGTTATACTTGAAATTAAACGTCATCATGGTCGAGGATGTACGAGCCGGCACCCAGGCGCCAACTTTTGAGAGTACCACCCGCACGCGTGGAGTTGTTAAGATTGTGTGTGATGACAATCGCTCCAGTGCATGGTTAATGGGCGTGGCTGGAAGACTGGCTACCAAGCTGGAACTTCCTCTTATTGTCTGTGAATTCAGTAAGATACCACGCCCACCACTTTTCACTGGTTTTTTCAAGCAGCTTGAACATTGGGAAGATGCGGAGATCTTGTTGAAATCAGCAAATCCTCCTCTCGCATCAATCTCGTTCAAACTCTTGAACTCCAAAAAAGAGGCAAATGGCACTCAGTTCACTGTCAGTGTCAGACCTCGGGACCGGGCCGTTCTCCTCGAGAAAGGCCCAGTTTTCAAGGTGGGGATGTCTAAAACCCGCCTTTATGAAATCACTCGTTCCAAAAAATCAGACCCTGCTGAAAAGAAAGGAACTGAAAACATGGATGAGATAGTGGTTTCATCGGAATCTGATTCCGACACTTATACAGAAGGGACAGAAAACCTTGAAGCACAACGTGACGATTCATATCGGAACGTTGATGTAACTGTGGTTGAACGGAAACCTTCTGACACCCTCTTGAATGAGGTATCTGAAATGGGCGGTCAGGAACAAGCGGAGACATCTGCAGAGACTACTGCCCTATCGGACACCGCATCCAATACTTTACATGGCCCAGAGGCCATGGATACTGGGGGAGATGGGGAAGAGCAACGGGAATCCAGAGGCATCGACTGATGCATCTGATACCCGAAGCTCTCTGCTTCTTTTCCTCCGTGAACTGTAGTTTGATATAGCCATGGCTAATACAAATAACAGTTCATCCACACACGCTGTATCTACAGCCAGCAACTCAACTCAATTGAACGCGCTGGCATGGATTAGCATACATCAAATAAATTTGCATAAAAGCAAGGCAGCGACTGCACTTGTGTGTAAGTCAATATGTGATATGCAAACAAAAAAACAAAACTCCATCTTTTTGATTCAAGAGCCCTGGGTTGTCAAGAACAAAATATGTGGCTTTGACACCGAAAAGATGAATTTATTGTATTTGAATCAGTCGAACGAGCCCAATAGATCATGTATCGTTGCTTCCAAGGAACTGAGCTTGACACTTTTGCCACAGTTCAGTTCACGGGACACCACGGCAGTGAAACTGGGTAAGGGCAGTACTCTTGATTCAGATGTGATACTAAGCTCCTTCTACTTGGCAAACCCTTCGAATGAAGATATTCCAGGAGAAGGACTTAGAGCATTATATGATTATTCTATTAACCGATCACTTCCAATAATATTGGGGGGTGATGCAAATGCGCATCACACGGTCTGGGGAAGTAGTGACACAAACCGTAGAGGTGAGTTACTTCTCGAATATATTGCAACGACTGACCTGCTCATCTTAAACAGAGGTGTACAACCAACGTTTGTTACCAGAAACAGGTCGGAAGTCTTAGACATAACTTTGATATCTGCTAATTTCTCGCATTTCGTGAAGAATTGGCATGTTACAAAGGAAGATAGACTCTCTGACCACAGAGAGATTCGCTTCCAACTATTATGTGCTCGCCGAGCACAGAATAAATTCAGAAACCCTAGAAATACAAACTGGGAATTACTTAGAAACGAAGTAAGAAAAGGGTCTACAGCACTCAGAAGACTGTGTCTGGACATCTCTACAAGGGATCGTTTAGACCAAGCAACTGAAAGTCTGACAGATCTCTTGAAGACTTCGTACCATATTTCATGCCCTGAGCGTGAAATTAAGATAAAGAACAATTATTGGTGGAATACGGACCTAAAAAGGCTAAGAAAGGAATCCAGAAGACTACTTAGAATATATTTAGCAAGAAAGGATACACCTCAAGGCCCACTCTGTCATGAAATATGGCGAAGGAGTAGGAACAAGTACACCAGTGAAATTCTTGTTGCTAAAAAGAACTCTGAAAAGAGATTCTTTAGCAGAATTGAGGGGGCTAAAAGCACCTCAAGAGTACACAAAATTCTGGCTAAGGACCCCGCCCAGGGTCCAGGAATACTTGTGAGACAAGATGGAAGCTACACGGAGTCTGATGAAGAGACTGCAAAGCTCCTACTTGATACGCACTTCCCTGAAAATGTAACACATGCGTTGCCAGCCCAAGAAATCTTGGAGCCAGTCCAAAACGCATATGTTGACGCTTTCATCGAAAATCTCGTATCTCCCAGGAGGGTGGAATGGGCCATCTCATCTTTTGGCCCATTCAAATCGCCAGGCCTAGACGAGATATACCCAGTGCTTTTACAAAAAACATGGGATATTATCGGAGATATAATTGTATCCATATACAAGTCCTCGATACTTCTGGGATACGTCCCCAGCTCATGGCAAAATGTAAAAGTAACTTTTATTCCAAAAATAGGAAAAGATGACTATACGTCGCCGAAATCCTTTAGACCAATCAGTCTTTCCTCTTTCCTTTTAAAGGGATTAGAACGGCTGATCGAAAGGTATCTAAGGGAAATATTGGAGGCTTCGGGTGACCTGCATGGTAGTCAGCACGCCTTCCAGCAGGGTAAATCAACCGAAACGGCTCTCCACAAAATTGTATCCATGGCCGAGAAAACACTCTTGGACAAGGAATTCATGGTCACTACGTTTATGGATATTGAAGGAGCATTCGATAATGTATCCTTTGAAGCCATAAATAAAAGTGTAAGAGAAATTGGTGCAAACCAAATGATCCAAAAATGGATTAATTCGATGCTAATGAACAGAACCATAACCTTTCGGAATCGGGGGGATGAGGTGATAGTGCATGCAACGAGGGGGACTCCCCAAGGCGGAGTGCTGTCACCTCTCCTTTGGCTATTAGTAGTGAATGGACTCCTAAAGAGACTTCACGAAAATGGCTACCAGGCGATTGGGTATGCGGATGATCTCAGCATAATTTGTAGGGGAAAATTCCTGAGTACTCTATCAGACAGAACCCAGTCAGCAGTTAAGCTGGTCGAACAATGGTGTCTGGAGGTGGGACTCAGGGTAAACCCGGCAAAATCGGAACTCATGATCTTCACAAAGAACAGAAACCTCCACGGTTTTAGGAACCCAACTCTGTTCGGTTCAAGGATCGAAAAAAGAGATCATGTAAAGTACTTGGGTGTTATGCTTGACTCAAAACTTACATGGCGAAGCCACATTGAGTACAGAGTCAAGAAATGCCTGAAAGTCTTTTGGTGCTGTAGGTCTGCCATTGGTAAAGTTTGGGGTCTATCCCCTAAATGCCTCCTTTGGCTATACACAGCTGTTGTCAAGCCCATGCTCGCATATGGATCTTTTATCTGGTGGACTGGCACCGCGACTGCTAGTGCCAGAAAAAAGCTAAACCACCTACAGCGAGTAGCAAGCTTGTGTGTCACGGGGGCTATGAAAACAACCCCCCAAGCTTCTCTTGACGTTCTCTTGGGTCTACCAAGGCTGGAAGACTTTATAGAGTCTGAAGCAATGAAAACGGCCTATAGATTGAGAATGGAAATAAAGACTAGGACAAGTCCTAGAAATTTGCATGATGATGCCCTAACAAATCTTTTCAATATTGACAAGATTTTGGGGGCTCCTTCTGACAAACTAATTACGACCTCCTACAATTTCGATAGGAGTTTCGAGATTATTATAACAAAAAGTCTCAATGAATTCTTCCAGCAAAAACAATGGGCACAAAACTCCTTTTTCACTGATGGTTCAGTCAGAGAAACAGGTAGTGGATGCGGCTTCTACTGTGAAGCAGAGAACCTCACCTATTCATTTCCCCTGGGACAAACAACAACAGTCAAACAGGCGGAAATATCTGGAATTATTCATTGTGCATACAAAATACTGGGGGACCCAGTACGGGGAAATATAGCTATCTTCACAGATAGTTTGGGAGCCATAACTGATCTTAAGAATATTAAGATGCAAAATGGCTTGGCTATGAACTGTTACGAGGCACTCCAGCGCATTTCTGAAACGAACAACCTTAGGGTGGTTTGGATCAAATCTCATACTGGTATTCGGGGGCATGACCTGGCAGACGGGGCGGCAAAATTGGCTGCACACGATGCAATAGAGGGTCCAGAACCATACATACCAATTGAATATTCACGAGTCAAGAACCGATTAGCTACTTGGCTCAGCAACAGATCCCGCCTAAATTGGCAGGGTACGTTCTCATGTGAGCAAACGAAACACTTCGTTCAATTCACATGTTCAAAACTCACGGTGGAATTAGCCAAATTGCCCAAGGAAGAACTCCGGATGGTAATTGGTTTACTTACCGGGCACGCCAGGGTCAATTCTCATATGAGAAATCTAAATCTCAGAGACGACCCGGACTGTAGACTGTGTGGTGGAGAAGGGGAAACCACTGCCCACCTCATAGATAGATGTCCAATGTTGGATACCATACGGGCTGACTTCACGGGCTGGAGATCCTACCCTTTGATTCATGCACCGAGTGTATTCAAATTGGTAACGTTTTTCAAACGGGCATGCGATGACAATCCATGCCTTAGAAACATTTTTGGATAAAAGACTATTCTCGTGTATTCAATACACACACGGGCGTCTTGCAATAAGTTATGAAACTTGAGCAACGAGTAACTATATTTGAATTTACTGTTTAAATAGGACACTCCCCGTTTTAATCCAATAATCCAATAATCCATACTTGAAATTACTTGAAATGTATGTAGAGACTTTTGATTTTAAATCGAAACGTTACATGCATACGGTTTGTTCCCGCATTGCTTTTGTTTTGATTTCATTTTGTTTTCCTGTTTGCTCAACAAAATTGTATTGCATTATGTTGTTTCAAGCATTAAAATTGATTCGATATCTCGAATTGAATTAATTGTTCAACCTCACGATAATGAAGTGAAAACACAAAAGATAACACAGATAAAGTCATATTTCCGATATATTATTTACAATCTGGTAAACAGTTATATGCTTCGATGCCAAAACAAATTCCACAGCAACATCATATTCTGATTTGATCGCTCAACATCAAACGTAACGCCATCTTTTTCTTTTAACCATAACACATCAAGTACATTTTAACGTGCCATATTTGTTCAGAACGGGATGAAATCGTTGCATTCGCTTCAACTTTGTTTAACTAAGAACTGTCAAAAAAGTAGAAAGTGTGCATTTCTGCAAGACTTTTTTCACCTTTTTTTAAAAAAAAAAGTCACCGAAAAAGTAAGTTTGTAAAATTTTAAATGCATCTACGTTATTTTGTTCAGATTTATAAATTAAAATGTAACTGATATAATAAAATTGTTTATATACGCTTATTGACAAGTACAAAACTTTTGGCTATGAACTGATATCAAGAGAAGTTGATGTTTTTATCATATTTGCATCCGGAATGTTATTGAAAACTATTTGTGTGTATTGATTTTTCTCTGGCAGCATTTTTAAAAATGAATTTTGTCATTAAAGTAAACACCGTCGTAACATATTCCTTTTGATGAATTCGACAAATTTCATTTTGCATAAAGGATCATTTTTGTTCTTTTATTTTTTAATATTAACTGTAAGATGTAGAATTCTCATAAAATGAAATATTAATAAATGGTAAAATCAATATCTCTGTATTCTTCGTAACGATCCGAGACAAATATATTTATATATATATTTCGCGTAGTTTGTTTTACTTGCATTGCATAAAGTTCCCGTTGGGAATTCCCAGGACTTTCATAATATTAAATAACTTCATCGATGAATGCATTATTGAAAACTTTTCTCTACCTGCTTTTTGTCGTTTTATTTTTTGCTTTTATTTTTCACAAAAATTCTCACGCTGCTTCACTATACAGCTCTTGTTCTGGGCTCTCTTTTCCGCTTAAACATGAGTTATTTATGAAAATAAACTAAATATTATGAACGCGCGCGCGCGCGTGTCTCAGGTAAATGAATCACACGAAACGAAATCAATCATACTGGTATTTAGAAAATGCAATTCTTTTTTTTTCGTGTACAGAAAAAGTGCGATAGAGTTTTATAGAATTTTCCACTTACATGATAATAGAACTCTGGCATAAATAGCTTTTTATGCGTTGATGGGAATTCGATTTCGGTTTGTTGCCATGCCCAGTCTCTGGGTACGAAATAGGTAAATCGTCGTTTCGTGTCATTCAACTGCGAATTAAAGTCTGCATTTCGGCCCATGATGTATGTTGAACTGCAATCGGAGAAATAAAAAAATAGAAATATAAGCGAATGTATCGAAAGTGGATCGTCGCTATCCGGTTTATATTTTTTTTTTCATTGGATTTTCATTTCAATCATTGTGAATAAAAATAAAATGAGCATAAAAATCACATTTCATCTATTTTTTCGTTGTATTTTGATTCCGAATCTCCGAATCAAATTCGTAACTGCCTGTAAAATAAAATAATATCATTGGCGCTCACTCAACTACATCTATTATTCTCGTTCTCTCAGGCAATCTGTTTTTTTTTTTTGCTAAAATTTGGGAAATTTCTGCGAAAAAAAAATTGTTGATTCCTGTTCGCAAGGAACGGAAGCTATATCAAGCTCATACACAATTGTCGTACAAACGTTTTAAATAACATCATTTTATGAGACAGATAGACACGGAGCTCTTAATACTCACTTCAACATTGGATCGGTGCGAAGTTTATCGTATACTGTAGCAAATGGAACTCCTAAAACTCGATCGATAATGTGTACATAACCATTCATCTGTGCAATATCAGCTTGAATTAGTGTCGCATTTACGCCAGCACCTTCGACTGTGACGGTTTGATTGCCCTCACGATTCGTAATAACGTTGAAATATAAATTTCGTCGATCCACTGCAGTCGGAACTTGGAGAATCTGTTATATACACATATGCACACACACACAAAAAAAAGAGAAAATTATAAAGAAGAAATGGAAAATCTTTGAGCATAACATTGAAATAGGAAAAAAAAACTCCGAATCGAATCAAATCTTGATTTCGATGCAAATATAACTATAATCGAATATATTCTGATCGTATGTATCAACGATAAGACAGGAAAAATCTAATTGCTGAATTGCGTTCTATACGATTCCATTTTGAATTCTTCAACATTCAATGAGCTATTTGATATTTACAAAAATATTCATATGTGTAAATAATTCACTTACGCTTTGAAGATTTCCCTGACGAATACGTTCGGTATTCAAGCGGTCGCGGACAAGATGCAAGTTAAGAATATCTCGCATTCGGTTTCGGTCTCTACAATAGTTCCAAGATAGAAGAGGGAAAAAATGAATAAATAACAAGAATTGCAAATTTAATAGACACCAAATTGGTGTAGATTTCAAATTAAATATAAGACATTTTTCAAACACTCAAACCACCATGGTTTTGCATGTGTGTAAAATAAAACGAGGCTATTGAATCGTTTTACCGTATATCATATGTATATTTTAATTTTAAAGCTCTTGGCAAAAGCCAAAAATTATCAAATCAACATTTATCGATTTGCGCAGACACACGCACACACACATGCTCATTCACGTATATTTGAATTTGATGAGCAGATTAATTTCAATAAAACATTGTGTAAATATGAATGCCCGCATTTCACCGCCAAATATTCGTCGATGGGTTGATGATTTTTGTTGCGGATGATTTAGTCAGTACGTTGTTGAATTTTGAATATATTTCAAAGGCACTGTAAAGCATCCAAAAAGCTGAAATGTTTAAGCTCTATACCTCATCAGATAACAATACGTGTATGAGAAAGCAGAAGATGGTGCTGCACAGCTTCAATAAAAATGACACGGAATGGTTGTTCTCCATGTGTGTGTGTGTTTGTCGGCATAATTGAGTATGCTAAAGAAATTCAGCCATTCGGTTGTTTAGTCTTTAAAATTTTATGGCATAATGAATAATACAACTTACCTAATGATATTCTGTACCATTGGATCGCTCCAAGCTTCGTTGCTTGGTGCGAATAGTGTAATTTCTTTCATTGAATTGACTGTTTGCATGAATTCACCGCCAACATCCATAATTACTTCATAGAATTTGAAAAGCGGACCGTCTTCCTTTTCCTTCGAGTGCGCAATCATTTTTGAGCATCGAGTAATTGTGTTGTATTTTTACGTTCCCGTTGAGATTTTGTGTTGTCATGAATATCAATGAATCAGCCACATCAAAACGGTGGATCGGTTGTTGTTATAAAAGAGGGAACAGGAAATGTGCAATAAAAACAAAACAATTAAATTTTCGACAAAAATTGATGAATTTTTTTTTGTTTCTTTTCCACATTCACATTGATTTTATGTAGAATAACATTTAAAATTGAATTGAGATAAGTGTAAAAAGTTCTTCGTCATGAAAATGCAGTTTTTTTTTCTGGCGTTGAAACATAAAAGCGAACATTAAAACCAATTGAAAGCGTTTTACTAAAAATTAATTGGACAGAGATGTAAATTCAATAAACATTTCATTAAATAAATAAATAGATTTAATTTTCATTGAAATCTTCTGCATTAATTTTTGGCGGTTTTTTTGTTTTTATTTTATTGAATGTAACTATAAAATTGAATGCCAACCACATTCATAGTTAAAAGTTGATCGAAATCGGTTCGAATTGATGAAAAACTTTTTGTTTTGTTTTGTTTTTTTTTTTTTTTTTGGCTCATCGCCAAGCATAAATAATTAAAATTTCGACCAATACCAATTTATAATGGATTGCAGATACATTTACATCTCTGAGTATGACGGTGAAAATGTTCACAAATCAATGTCTATATGAACGAATTGTGCAATGAATGAGAGAGAAAGAGAGAGTATGACGACACCAATCGACGGCATCATCAAATTAATTTTCTAATTGATTTTATTCAATGACACGAATTATTCTCCACAATTTCAATGCTACGTGAAATGGCAGCCGATGGAAAAGTTTTTTTTATGAACGGACAGAAAAGGCAAACGAGCGTATGCACCGAGACATATATCCTATAAGCATTATACCCAAACAAAACAAGGCAATATGAAGAGCAAATGAAATGAATGAGTATGTGTAATTGAGACTTTTGTTCGTGTATGAGTGCAAAATATGGTATAAATCTACTCCATGGAACTATGTGCATTCGCAATGAAGATGAGAATTGGTCTGATTGACGAAATGTGTGTTTGTGATCAGACGATGAAATGCTCATTTGAAGCACCACCTTTTTTTCATTCTAATCAAGCGGCTGCAAAGGCCATCCAAGTGAACATAATACATTCAAATTTAATCAGTGCGTTTGTTCACACCAACGAAAATGCGCCCATCAAATAGCGAACTTATTGATTGGTATAACGGCCGAAAAAATGTCTTTTTCTCATGTTTGAATTGCATTCAAGAGTAAATAGCATTTCTTTTGCTCGCGCCTTCATTCAACAAAATAATTGCCGAACATGGGGGATGCAGGGAAGTTGAAACAACATCTTGATGATGAAACTTTGATAATAAGTACGACAGAAATAGAAAATGCGAAAAATATAAATGTAATATTTATAGACGTTTGTTTTAAAAGACGTGGAGTGAGAATCTGGGATTTGAATAATTGTGCTAACAAAGGGGGAACGCGTTAGTTTCCATTGTTTTCTGTTTATATGTGTGTATCAAGGTTCGTTTTTTAAAAGTCGTTTCGAATGGTTCTCATGACGATGACAACAAAAAAAAAAACCATTCAAATATTTGTGAATATGTTTAACTTTTGCATTTTGTTGCCAGGAAATTGTTTAGATTTTTCAAATTGGTGGAAAAGTTTGTTTGTTTCAATCACCAAACTTCTTTAAAACGATTTCTTAATGGAATGCCTGGGACATTGTGCCAAATATCTATAAGCATATATAAGAGTGTAAAAATTTACGGATTTTCTCCAAAAATTTAGTATAAGTGTTGGTGATGTGCAAGAAAAACGAAAATGATGATGATAACATTTGAATGAAGAAATTTTAATATTTTTTTATTGAGCATCATATTTCGGACTTTCTCTAGTTGCCATCTATTCATTGACTTTATTTTCGGCTTATGCCCACGTTTTGAAATCTATAACCGGTTCAAAGTGGTCGTTAAAATTGATTAAAAAAAAAGAAATGAAAATATTGCGCAGAATTTTCACCCGAAATTTTGTGAACGGTGTAAATGTTCGTCAATTCATTCAAGACACATTTTGTTCTTACTCATATTCAAAGTACTAGTTATTTTCATTGTATGCGGAAAAAACTTGTCATCAAATACAAACTCATACTTAAGGTAAATATATTCTAGAGAGAGACCATATTGAAAGCAGCAATAAATATAATCAGCAGAAACCAATATATACACAAAATGAAGATAAACCAATTTATTGAACTACAGAACACATCAATCAACAATTCGATTTCTGAGAGTATATTAGAAAATTTGCATGAATTTAATTGTCTTCGTTTCAATAAATGTGCAAATACAAATGAACTACATTGCAGAGGAAAACCTTTCATTCAAGTCTTGAGTAAAGAAAGATTGAAAGAGAGAGAGAGAGAGAGAAAGAGAAGGAGAGACATTGAAGACATACGCGTTAAATTTCCTTAAACAATCGAAATACCTCGAATGATTATAACTAAGAACAATCTCACTTTGGTGGTGCCAAAATGCATGCTGTTAATCAGCTATAGGTGGCTTTAACTATTTTGTCAAGGAAATTACAATGCAACACCAACTCCAATTCAAAAACAATTTACCTATTTATACAAATTCATTCAAATATATACAATTCAGCCGGTGAATGTTTGCCACAAAGATTTCATCTTAATATTGTATACATATTGCCGTTTTTTGCATTTACTCGAAAGGTTTTCTTGAAAATTCCATTGAAGTGCACAAAAACTCAGACTTGAAACATGCACAAAGTTCAAAAAACAAAACCATATGCAATGTGTACGTAATAACCACAACTCAGATGTGAAACGAGTGTTTAATAGAAAACCAATAGAACATTTTGTCGCCTATGAAATTTCAAAACTGTTTGTTCTATAACAATCAACATCATTCACTCACAACATTTGACGAGAACATGGTCTACATACATCTTTTTTTCTTAACATCACATTTTTTTTTATTTGCAGTTCCTGCTCGTAAAAGTTGTGAAAAACACAAAATGCATCGAACTCATCGCTTTGCTCAATTTTCATAAAATAGTTTCCAATTGACTTATGATGGAATTTGTATGATGTCATTCAAATTGACACACATGTCATACAGTGTAACATTGAATACAATAGTACCTTATTATCTTACATCAACTCTCTCACTCTCTTACACACCACATTCATCGTTTACAACTCGATTTCTAACTAAATTGAAACTACTTTTGTGCTTTTATCTACACTTGTTAACTTTCATTCAATGTGTGTTGCATCCATTTGGTGACAGAAAATTAAGCATTTACTACAATTGGAGATTTTCCTGTTCCTCCGCGAATATATTGTACGATTGAATTCAATAAGCCTATCGGAAATGATCAGTTTTCTATTATGTGCAGACGAACAATGTGTATCGATGGGAGAGAAAATGAAACGTGAATGATTCAATTGAAATCATTTTCGAGATTTTCATGGTGGCAGATATTTGTTTTTGAAAATGTGACAAACATAAAATCTCTGTAACACAGTTGACATCATTAATATGTATGGGTTCGTTTTTTTTCTTCTCCCTTTCATTAGCTCAGCACTACATTATTAAATGGGTGCAAAGATTCATTAAAAATAACAGCTGCACTACCAATTTATTAGCAAAAGTTTCAAAAGTCATAAATTCCAGGCAACATAGTGATGGAGTTCGAAAGCAAGAGACGAAAGCCAAGCAACCGCTACACTTTTAAAATTCAGTCATAAAAAGGCACGACACTGGTATAGGTGTGTGTATATGTGTATTTTCGTGAGAGAGATAGAGAGAGAGACGGGCTCAATATGAATTGCAAAATGCTTGAATTTGTAATGCAAAACATACAATCTACAGTAGAAACGATATGGAAGAAGATATTTAAAATATGATTTTATGCATTCAGTATGCACTAATTGAGTACTAAAAAGGTGGACAGGTGGAAAATTGGCCAGGTGAAAATGAGAGAAAATTATGTGAATGAAAACCGAGTGTAAATAAATGATGAAACCATTTATGGATGTGTGTGTATGTGTGTGTGTGTGTATAAGTTTAACTAAGCTGATTTTTATTTGTACGAAAATTTTCGATTCACATGAAATGTGTTATAGAATTTTGAAGCAAAAATTGTGATGGCTGTAAATTATGATGGTTTGCGATCGGCATAATTCGGCACCGTGAAATTTTTGGCATATCTTGTTCATTTGAGGTTGTTTAGTTGCAATTTTAAATAAATCCAATGGAAATTACGAGAGTGAAACACATTCGAAATTATATGAGCATACGTAAAATGAAAAAAAAAATAACGACACAATCTCGACACATTTACGGCCAACGTAAAATGAATTGCGTGTCCGAATCGAGGTGGTTATGTGTGTGAATTTATGAATGTGTATATGTGTTTGGGTGGTTTTCATTTTTTTTCGGCTAAATTCTGGTGATTTTTTTATGCTGAAAATGCGTCCGTTTCATTGTGAGACTTAAATAAATTCAGGAAATGTATGCCTTTGATATTCTACGAATTCAAGTGATTTGATTTTTTTTTTCAAAATAATTTGGATATGTTGCGAGTCAACTAGATTTTACATGGTCTACGCAAAATAAATAGTAAAACATGTGAATTTGCGTTGTTTTTGGCGCTCTTTTTTTAAATTTTGAATATAAAAATGAAATGGCATATGGTTTTTTGTAATTAAAACTTTTAAAAATATAAAAGACTGTTTAGTACTTACATTGACGATCTTATAAAATTTTGTCAATGGTTTTTTTTAAAATATCGAAGTCAAGAGCGACGCATTATTGAGATAATATTTACATTCATCGGCATTTGCATATATTCCACGAAGTAGTATTCATAAGCGATATTACGTCGGTTAATATAGTTTCAATTAATTTATACACATAAATGCGTAATTTAATGGCAAATGCATGAGCATGTTGAGCGATAATGATTACGAAACTCATGTAAAACAATTAAATGCCGTTTCATTTGTTTGAAATTTCGAAAAGTTAAATCATTTTTGTTTGTGTTGGTTTGAATTTTATAAAAAGATGTGTCAACGATTTTTTAAACACATTTAAAGCGTTGAATGTATGTTGTTGATCGCGTGTGTGCACCATTGCAGTTTTGTCGGTTGGTATGTGGTAGTTTTCCATAATAATTTTTCCGAATAAATGTTTCGGTATAATAATTATGAATATTAATTTTATCGATCATGTTTACATGTCGGCAATTTACGGGTAAAGAGGGCAAATAAAAGTGAAAAAAAAGAAGAAGAGAGAGAATAACAGAGGTTAATCAATATTTTCCATCTCTACAGATTGCGTTTTTGTCGCATGAACTGCATTTGAATTGTACTGTTTTTTTTTATTCAAATGATTTTTGCTTTATTTTAACAACACACTAATTGGTCGTTTACTGTGGCAATGTGCAGGAAAAATTCAGGCAAAAGTGCACTACATTTTGGTGAATGGAATATAAAATTAGAGGTTTGAACGAAGGAAATCGTGCCAAATATACGATAAACAAATGGGAATTGTATCGATTTTCGACACTATCTCGTTCGCAGCAATGTTGAAACACAAAAGAAAAAAACTTTAAGCAAAACTGAATTGTGTGTATTTATTATTCCATATTTTGTTCAAACACAATGTTTGCATACGTGGTGATGATGGCAAACACAAGTGCATTGTATACGATTTTTTTCTCTTTTCATAAAAATTTAACAATGGGTCAATAATTTAGAGTTCGTTGCTTGGTCGAAATAATGAATTTATTATGATTCTTTTTTTTATCGTTTTCATTATGTTGAGTACCATGGTACTGGATATTGCACTTTGCCCATCATAGAATTATAGCAGCCACTTTACATTGCCGATATGGTGATTTGGGATTTTATCGATTGAATGATCTTTAACCCCCCACCATCTCCACTGAATGGGTGTTCCAACATTTTTTTTTTATTCATTTGGCATATAACATAGAATTTACCAAAGTTTTCAAATTCATTATGCTAAAATATCGAATTTACATATGCTCCAGAATTAAAATTGTGTTATTATTCTCAACGAAATTCAGCTCAATCAATTTATTGTTCAAAAGCAATTAATTTTTTTTTCTTTTCATGCGGAACTAATTACAGTAATTAATTTTTGCATTAAAACGAATCAATTTCAATAAATAATAAATCAAATGAATTTTACTTGTGATTTTACTTAATTTTCTGTGTTTTTGGTTTTGTGTTTTGTCTCCTTTTCGTTACGTTGTGGAATATCAACAGTGCATCGTTGCACAAGTTTTACCAATTCCACAAAATGAATGCCATCAAGCTTATAAGAATATTTGAAGAGTTACAATGTAAAAGGAAATCCATCGGGAGCATTTGGAACAATGAACAACATTGGAACAAGTAAGTAGCAACTTTGTAACATTCACTTGAAATATTCAAACGATAGAGCATCTTCTTCATTTCGTATTCATTGAATTTTTAATGTGTACGGTTTCTGTTTAGTTCAGACGTTTGTGTTTTGTTTCAACTATCACTTCAACCAATAATCTTAATGCAAGTTTCACCGATTTTCAAAGGACAAAGATAATAAGAATAAACGATTGAATGATCAAAATGACATCTGTCAATAGAATCGTTTTTTTTTTTCTTCCTTAATGGCAACATTAATAAAATTCAACATAGCGCTGAACACTTTGTTTTGGTTTGACAAAAGGTAGGATTTAAAAACTAAAATAATAATAGTAAAATATGAAGGCATGCAAAAAAAAGGTAAAATCTTACCCCACACACTAATAAGGGGAACAAATAGTGCAATACAAAAGAAAAAATTAGAGTAAAAACTAATTTGTTTGTGGCAAGAATCAGATCATACATTCGAAAATCGAAACGGCAAAAAATCCATGACGACGAAAATTTACTATACAAATAAAAATGTGTGCGTGATTTTCCGTTTTCAAATTATTTTCGATGATGTTATGTATTTTCGTTTGCTGCATTTCCACTAAAGCAATAATGTTGCAAACATTCGAAGAAGAAATGACAAAAACACTGGAGTTTAACATTTAAATTAAGTAAGTTTCAGCTGTAATTGCATCGAGAACAAAATAAAAATGGTTCGCACGAAATACATATCTCATTGCAAAAGGTCCATGGATAATTACCGAAAATATTTGGTGCTCTTTATTTCATACGAATAATAACATTGAGAAGCAATGCCTTGGTTCAGCGGCGATTTTCTTAAAATTTCAGTTTAGCAAACAATTGTCTGAAGAAATATGCGCCAAATTGGCGAAAACTATATGGTATGCAGAAATATAGACATTAAAGGCCGGTGGCGCCAGTTGGCCATCCAAAATCACTTGAATAATTTATTGTTATTCTTTTGAATATTGAGTTTTAGTTTCAGACATTTCGATGCCACTTACTGTAGAAAGAGCGACGATTTCGAGAAAGGCCATACAACAGCACATAATATGGTCGTCGACGTTTAACCATCGTCCGATATACATTTCGACTAGCTCGCTCTCCAAAGAAATACACACATCTATGCACGTTGAGGTATGCAAAAATAGAGCGAATATAAAACCGCATTCTCTCACACTGGCACTTGCACCAGCAATTGCCGTTTAGTGTTTTAGCAATGGTGTTTTTGTCGAATGGCATCATTGTTGTTGTTGGTGGCGGTACTGTTGCTGCTTCTTCTGCCATTTCCCGACACGATACGGTTTTAAAATTCATTGCAGCAACACAGTTGCAATTTATATGAAGACGACATTTTCTTGGCAATATGCACCATATGACGATGCTCATCGTCTCATGGACAAAACGCTCAAAATGCTTTAATAAATGGTTTTTAATTTCTTCGTAATGTCATTTACAATACGCAAAAATTAAGCTCTCAGAGCGAATGAGAAATAAAAATGAAAATCATTCTTCGCCAAATCAGACATCCTTTATTCGCCTTCCGACAAAATATAAATGACATGAAATTCTTGCTTGGAATCACTTCATTTTTTGCCACGATTGAATTTATTCATTAAAATATCACATCGACACGATGATGAAAAGAAATAATTCATGATAAATATTTTGTATGACTAAAAAAAAACATGTCCATCTGATTCAAGCCAAATTAATGCAGGTATTACACTGCGAACTTTTAATCGAAAATGTAGAACAACTACATAGAGAATAAAAAAAACTATGAAGCAACATAACGAAACAAACTGAAATTGACATCAAATGTAAAATAAAAGCTGTGGAAAGTACAAGTTAAAAATACAATAAAATTGACAGAACAAAAAAAAAAAGTACACGAAAAGTAAAAGGAAACGCTTTTAAAAAACGGTGCAACAAAATAGGAAAGACACAAAAAGCATACAAAAAATAGAAAAGAGACGAATAACAAAAACGAAATAAGAATAAGTTCATAAATTATTTCATTACCTTGAACGACTGTTTACATGAATGCACAATGAGTTGTACAAATATTTTAAATTGGATTTTAAAATTTGTCGCATTGTTTGTTTTAGCGAGAAAATGATAGAGAGTAATTAATTTGATTGATTTACATTTTCGAAGCATCATCCGTAACCGTACATAAGAAAAATAAAAAAATAAATAAATAAACAAATGATTTTGTCACAAATTCTTATAATTATCTTAAGATTAAAAGTATTATGTTTGTGTTTTTCCTCGGTACTGCGCTTATTAATTTTGTGAACATATTGTCGATCGAGCTGGGGTGTGTGTAATAAAACGACGCAAAAATGACGAAACATTTATAAATGTTGTTTTGTAGAAGAAGAGAAGAAAAAAAATGTAGATGAAAGGTGTTTCGATCCAGTTGTTGAACCACTCAGGTAGTAATTGATAGTATTTTCATGGTACAGATGAGTAGTTTTCGCATGAGTGAAATCGATGTTATAACAATGTTATTGTATGACATTTTGAATGAAATATTTGTTTTAAAAAAAATGAATTCATCGAGTACTACATATCACAAACGAAAGATTCTAAGTGATTTATTGATGTGTGCATTATAATCAACCAAAATTGTTAAATATCATAAATTATATATGGAAATTGAAATAATAATTGCATCAAAACAGTATGGTATTATGCACTGAGATACTAACGATCATGGTGCAATATTTGATTTTATTCGCTTCCGACAGATTTCTCATTCTATGCCAATTTTACTTCATTTGTGAATGTTATTAAGGTGCACTCTAATACACAAAGTGACACATAATTCAAATGATAAAATTTTAATTGAAAATTAACCGAAAAAAATATATTTTTTTTATTATAAACAACAACTATATATTAGATCAATAGCTTTCATACATCTAACGCGTTGCTGACTCTCTCAAGACAATCTAAATTGTGTGCTTTATTACAGGAGCAATTCATCTGAGCTTCAACTGGCCAATACATATGCTCTTGTTTTCTTTTGGTCTGAATCAATAATTGGGATTGGGAAAGGATTGTTTTTAAAGGAACCATCATTACAAAGTAAACATTTAAAATGAACCATACATGGGCACAGGGTAAAAAAACATGTGCCCATGTATGAAACGGATAAAAAAATGAATTCAAGAGGACAAAAAATCATTGAATCTTGTTAGCGATTAAAATCATAATGTTAATAAAACAAAAAATATGCAAAGTAGTAAACTTTGATTGTAAACGAATGGGATTATCTGAGCGCGAATCGGGAAAAAAACAGCTCCACGCATTTAAACCACTTTGGTTATTGCAACATGCTAATAAGCGCAAGTAGCAAAAAAAAACACCAACCAGTGAATTAAACCTTTTCTGGAATTATTCTGTTGTCGCTGTACGCATCGCCACATATATTAAACTCCTTTTCTAGTGGTATAGATAGATAAACGAAACGTGATAGCAATCGCCGACAGGGTCAAACCAAACAATTTTTAATCAATTTGCATGCCGAGGTTTTACAAAACCAACTTTAGTTGATACGTTTTGATTGTAAAGCCAGGTGTAAATGAAACACACGCATGCTATTTTGGCATTTTTTTAATGACTGCATGAAAAATAATCTTTAAGCCGATGTATTCTGTGTAGTCAGCGACAGCGGGCAGCAATATAAGCGAATAAATCAAATGTGAAAAGAAACGTGCCATTTTGCGAAAGCGCAAGCAAGACAATGTTTGGTCATGGATATTTCTTTTTTTCGGTCGGTAAAGAGAGAGAAGAGAGGAGATTAGAGGCTCCGAGGTAGCTTTCATCGAGTGTTTTGCTGCCGTTGTTGCATCATTAATGCGCTTCTTGTAACTGTATACAAACTGACTCATCATCACGTTTTAACGAACGGACATGAAACGAACATCAATCATTCCATTCAGATTTTTCCGTTGAAAATTGAAAATAATGCTTCGTTATTATCCGTTCAGGTGAAGAATAACGACATTAACTTCCGTAAAATGGCCATAGCGGCCACAACCATTCGAACAAGCAACCAATTGAATCGTCCCATTCGGTGTGAAAATCGGTTTTTGTGGCAACTCATCCATTGTCCGCCGTTATCGTTACCTTTCTACACACACACACACAATCACATACACGCGACGGGCTTGTGATAGTCAGAAACAAAACGTGATTTCAAAATATTTATCTTTTCATGAATATTCTTTCCATAACATGATTCTTCGAATTATTACAAATATTTTTGCTACATTAGCAAATGTGAGCCAAGCTTTTTGCGATCATAATGCGTTCATTTAGCTATGAAAAAACGTATATGTGCTAGAAAAATGAAAGCATAAGATGACGTTGATCTTCATCATTTTTGGTCAAACGAAATTTTCAAAAACTCATTTAGAATGAAAAAAATTGTATGGGATTTTGTTACGACCAAAAAAAATGTCCGCAACCGAGAATGCAAGACATTGACATCGACCGACAATTCTTCTAACCGATGCGATTTAAATTAATTTAAATGAGAAATGGAAAATACTTGTTCATTTTGAACGAGAGGAAAGATGTGAGGAGTAAAGTTAAATCACATTGACTATAAATAGTAGAATTGATGTAGCAAAATGCGCACAAAAATTTAACAATCTAATACGAGAAATTCAATTAAATTGACATAGTGTTTTTCATTCTCTTCTTTTGCCCCGAATAGGTGCGTCATTTGTATATGCACACGTATGTACGTGTGTACGTGTGTCGGTTTTTCTTAATCAAGCACGACAAAATTATGTCGCTTTCTCGCTTGCTATTCAACCAACAATCGATGTGTGTGTAAGAGAGATAGAGAGAAAGAATGAAAGAGAACGAGCGTGCTAATGGTGACAATACTGGAAATACTATATATGTGTAACATGTTCGAGGGTTTCAATTAATGTGTTCATTTACATTTTTCGTTTGTGATAGAATTTAATTAAAAAATCTTTAGCGTTCAGAAAAAGAGTGTCCCGCTGTTCGAGCATCACTTAAAATTGGATATTCATGCACATTTGTTTCTTTCTTCTTCGCACATTTCTATATTCGTTGTGTCGTCAGACTTTGTCTCAGTTTCACATCATCAGATGTGTTTGGTGATGACGTTTATAGTTTCTATAAAGAAATGAACTCGTTCGTTCTCCATTTCACCCATATTTCTCATTTTCACGTGAAAACTTTTGAAGGTAGCTGCACTCATGCCATGCGACAATCATTTTTTCTTCTTCTCTCGTGCATTTTGTGAACATAACTAGTTGGCATGAGATAAAAGAACCAAACACCTGTGCTCCAACTTCAACTCCGACCATAATGTTATTTGTTTAGTTTTAGAGCCTGTACAATTTGATACCCATACCGATTCTCTCTGTCGCATTTTCATTTACCCCATTTTAAGTAATGATTTTCTTTTCGTTCCATTTTTATCTTACTTTCACAACGAATTTTTCCCAACTCAAGACAATAAACAACGGAAGCAGAAACACGAAAAAAAAAAAAATAATATACATCGTATATTCGAACAAATAAGCGGAAAAAAAGATGGTGAAAGGGGGGCGAGGGTTGTGGCCAGAGGAAAAACACGTAAAAAGATTTAATTTGTTAAATCAAAAACGAGATCAAGATAACGGGAGTAAAAAAGAACATGAACCATACCTCAAGGAATTGCTTGACAGTTGTGTCAACAACCATTAACGGACGATGAATTAAATGAACGACGCCATTTTTCACGGGTATATTTGCTCGTACGATTTCAGCTAATACTACACCTGTTGAGTGCTTTGAGTCTCCAACAACCGTATTTGATTTCACATAAGCTGCAATTCAAAATGAAGAGTAAATACGGATTAAATGAGTTCATAAATTCATATTCAACCATATATGCTTGGATAAATTATGACATGCGAATGCGAGTGAGTGAATGTGTAAATGAAACTTACTTTTCATATTTTTTCCTTCGCCCTGAGTAAAGAACGTAACGGTTACTTTGATATTATCTTCGAAAGCAAGTGTTTCAAATGGTTGTTCGATGGGTGCTGATTTAGTGAACACAACACGGTTTGGAATGATATGTCCATCAATTACTTTCTTATCAATGAGATCTGGGCGTGGATGAGGCTTAAATGATAAAAGAGAAAGAGCAGAAATATTATTTATGATATTTTAAAGCAACGGAACAGACAGTTCACTGCGTTTAATGTATGATGCGATTATATCTGATGTGTTCAAACCGCAAACTTAAATACGAATCCTATTTATTTCTATATAATAATTCAAGTGGACACAATGATCGAATCGTATTTTCAGCAGCCGAATGGGAATTAAAAGTTCGTAGGTAAGCAAATAAATCGGATATATAAATCGCATTCTAAACATATAACAGATTATTACAGATTTTTTGTCATGTGCGAAAAGTTCGTGCTCACCTTAAAGCCTTCTTCTACTGGAATGAAGAAAGTAAAACCACCGTTCGCTTGATAAACTACCTCTTTAGTATTGGCAATTACTCGTTGACGATAAGACCTGTGAAATAGATTGACGAAAAAAAGAATGAACACCCAAACACACATAGTATCATCATTAAAATTCTCAATAACATTCTCTTGGGCATAATGTTGTTGCAGCAAAGGCATAAACTCACAAACGATAAACGGGATTATAGCCAACAGATCATAAATATTAAGGTATAAAAACTAACCAAGTAAGTTATACTCACCGAATTCGTTGACCACCAATATCCAAGATATCCGAATAGCTTAAGAATTGAAAAGCATCAGGATTATTTATATCGTTTGATGAGGCCGAATTTGCCATTAGTGGTGTCAGTATATCATCAATCACATGAAGAACCTGCACAAGAGAATTCATATTATCATTATTATTATTATTTTTATTTTCGAAATCAGAATATTTGATTATGGGTAGCCATTTTGAATTGGTGTGTAGTATTTTGGGTCTTCTTCGGTAAGCATATATTGCGATACAAAGAGATTTTCATAGTATCGTACTTTCTTCAACGTCTGGCCTGGCAAACGTCCAAACTGTCTGAGTAAAGGTTTTCAGTCTCAAAATTTATAACAAGTAAAATGGAATCTATATCAACTGAATATTTCAATTTTTAAAATGGAATATTGCCGATGTGAATGGTGTTAGTGCTGAAATATGAGTTTCCTATATTCCAGAAGCTTTTAAAGATTTATTATTATTTGATACGGATTATTTTGAATAGTCCATTGAGAGCATAAGTGTGAAACTTTGAATACATCTTGAAGCGAATATCATCGCCATCATCATACTTTGTTCCAGCTGACGTACATTATGACGGCCTTTTACCTTTACCAACACAAAGCAGATATTGTCACTGGAATAATAACATGCACATTCTGTAAAGGTACTGAAAGGTGAACTATGAAAAAAAAAATGCGACCCAATCGCCAAACAATAGTATTTATGTAAAGTGATTGAAATGTTTTTCGTTTTTCTTTATCATTTTACGAAGAGATTTGTTCAATTTTTAAACCATTGAATAGAGATCGAAGAGCATATGTGTGAGTGGCTGCTTTTTCCGGTGCTTCTGTCTTTTCTATTTTCACATCGGTAAACGATTGGGAATGACATTTTATTTAACATCGGTTACAATATGCATATTCAACTGCATGTGATATTTTCAATTTAATGTTTGGCTGTTGCTGCGGCAAACGATTCGCACGCAGCATACAAACAATCACGTTCGAAAAGATGCAATAAAGCCGATGGGCTTCGAACAATATTCCAAGAAAATACGCGACATACAAATCGATTTGGTGTACGTGTGTATGTATGTCGGCATGTTCACATGCCATACGCATAACACTATGGTAAAACGGAATTATGTCATGAAATTGCACTTTCACGAACAATGTAAAACGGGAAAATAGCTTTTACAGCATCAAATGGTAATGTACAATCGCTTGGGGATTTTTTTTTAAACATTCATATTTTGATCCGTAAACATGCATGGAAATTCATACAAAGAAAGAGCACCAACATTTGCTGAATGAACAATATTACTTTTGATTTTGGATTTGATGTTAAATGCAATTTTTATGCTTTAGTTCACGCCACGATGCTATACTTTGCTGGATTCGAAGAAACATGTTTTTTTTTCTCTGAATGTTGCTTTTGAAATTTTCCACCAACAAAATGAACGAGAGAGAGCGAATTTAAAGGTGGAAACCCGAACAAAACAAGTAATTCGCTCTTTTCCCTTTCGTGTTTTTTGGATTTCTACACTTCCGTTTCAATAAGCTTATCTGCCAGTGTACGTTGTACCTTTTGCAACAATTCCTCTCACAAAGCGGCACTCGAAGCAATTCTCTCGCTTGATGTGATTCATTCGCATTCTCACGTTGAGTGCGAGCCAGGACGATGAAGATGAAAAAAAAAACACTAAAGCTGAAATACCAAAATACGCAAGTTTTATGCACGTGTTTTTCTACGTGAAAATAAAAGAATAAATAAAGCGAACGGAAGATATGTTTGATGTGAGCATGTCATTTGAATGCCAAATAGATTTGAAGAAGATTCTGTTCTGGTGAAGTGAGTGAAAATTGATTTCAATTGACATGGAATATTGTACTGGCAAAAGGAGAAGGACACCGAATGTGAAGCAACGTGAATATTGTGCATATATACACGGAGAAAGTTTTAGTGCCTTTGAATTGACAATATATGAATATTAAACGCAATAAAGCCAAAGTTGTAGTAAACAAGCCAAAGTTGAATGTAAATCGTTGTTTGTAATCTAGGCAGCTCGGATATAACTTCTTCCCGGTATCACTTTGACTTGATGATGATGACAGCGACACCAATGATGACGATGATGTTACAAATCAAATTGCATTTAAATGTATAGCTTTCAATAATAAACTTCCACAATTGTATGGTGGATGTGAAAAGAGCATTATTTGATTTTGAAATTCGAATAACAAGCGAATTGACTACATGCATTCATAAAGACATGCAATCAACAAAAGTGAGCTGTACGACTTTTTATTAAAGAAAAAAAACTTTTAGTCATTCGTCCTTCGGCATATTGGCAAAGACAAAGACATTTTGCTCGACAAGCGATATTGTTGCAAAAATGAAACGCTTAAATTGATCAACAGAGAGTATCATCTGGTAACTTTGCAACACGAAATCAACATCGTCAAAAGTTTTGGTAGCACAATTCGATGACAAACTTTGTACAACGTAATCCAGTTTATATATATATACAGACTTTTCATTTTTATGGAAATAAGCTTGCATTTTACTAGCAATCTTGAAAAAAAAGTTCATCTCGTGAAATACATATTTTATTCAGTTCTTAGAGCATTTCAAATGCATTTCAAGAATTCAAAACGAACGTTTATCCAAATAATTCGAACGAATTTTTGTAAAATTAATGTGATTTTAAGCGAAACAAGTTTTTGATATCCACCCAAGCACCATAATTAAAGTCGCAGCAAATGAAAGATTAAAAGATTAAACAAGCAGCAACAAGAACAAATTTCAGAGTAATTACAGTCGTAGTTATCGACCTGGAATTACCTCCTCCTCCCTTCCACACAACTAGTTGATACGAATTCGATATTCACATTTATTAGACGTTCAGATGGAGATGGCCAATGGTACAAAGACAACGGTAAAACTTCATTGTTAACATTTGAAACTCTATTAAATGTTACACAACGTTCAGCAAATATTTGATAGTGAATTGGAATAATATTTATTTATGACTAACATCCAGATTAAGTGCGAAATGCAAGCTCAAATACTCAAAATTCTATACAATTTTGAAATTTCGATGTGCTCTGCAATGTGTCTGTGAAGATCCAACCAATCGTAAAGATTAAACTGTAAGTTGTCGTCGTCGATGGTTCCGATGACGATACAAAAACTTGAAGAGCCGCTTTGCATTTCAAAATGCACCGTTTAGAGCTAGTGAATTGAATGTGGTCATACAACCAGTAAAAATGCCAAAAAAACTTTTGATGGGTGTGCGAGAAAAAAATGACAGTGGCAAATAGAATTCTAATCCAATTAGATCCAATTTGCGGTGAAACACAATGCCACTATTGTATCATTCTAACATTTCTAGCTTAAATGCTTGTTTTAAAGTGAACAAAGATATATACACACACACCAACACGCAGACAAAGTGCCGACGATAGAAAGACAAAACTGAAACCGAAAGATATATTGAGACACACAGAGACAGAGAGTGAGAGGCAGAGAGATGGAGGGAAACAGCGTGTAAGCATTTGAGCCGGCAAAGAGAAATGAGTGTTGCCGAGTTGGGATTTCATTCAAAATTCAAGTTAATCACCGTAAAGTCGCTTTAACTGATAAATCTATTTTAAACTAATTTGAAATCCATTTCGTATAATTTGACTAGTTTATTCACGGCCACCGAACCATTTCGTTGGTATCAGTTTTGCATTTTCTCTGTTCATTTTCATTCGACTCAGAGTCAATGAGTAAGTTGCCGGGTATCGTAATTCAGCGAATGCTTATGCTTGCAAATGTCTGGATGAAAAATCCGGCAAAATCAAGCTCATCAACTTTCTCATCACATTCAAATTGCATCAGCACATTTATTAAATGGTGTAGAAAACAGGATAACGAAAAATACGCGTGCACACACAGACATGCACATATGTTTGTATAAAATGTGAATTGTACCATCGAAGGTATGGGTACGAATGTGTGCCACTGAATTTGTGTTCATTTTTTTTTCGTTATTTATCAGAGCATGAAAAAATATATGTATAAATTAGCCAAAGCAGTGATCGATATTACCTCAACGATAAAGTGGCAAAAATGACGGATATCGATGTCAGTGTCTTCGCACAAGGTAATCATGCAATAATAAAAAATATCATTTGAATATATCGATTGAAGCAGAGCTTTCGAATTGTTTCAATGTATTTATGAAATTATTTGCTTTCAGAAAGCTTTTAAATAACTTCCATTTCAACGCAACCACATAATGTTCGGTTTTATTTGAAATAACCTAAGCGTTAAGCAGTGGCACATGCACTTCTCTTTTGACAAATACAAGCGTAAGCTAAACATAATTCTTTCACTTCTAAACTAAGTTTGTGAGACTTAAACCTGTGATGCACAGGTGTGATCGTAGCTTATGCGATAAATCGAAATATCCACTCAATTGCTCATTTCTTTTAAGCATTTTCATTCCATATCTCACTTTCTCTTCGCTCGTTCAGCTTAATATGACGCAAGACGTTACTACAACAACTTATCGATGTGGCAGTAGCGAATTGCACACTTTTTAAGTATAACACGTTGTTGTGAAGTGGATGAAAAAAAAAATCAATACTTTTCGAACCAGATATCTGCCAATATTTGTGTCATTGATTTCGGTGTAAATGTATATTGTTTTAAAGAATCTATTCGAAAGCTTTTGTATTATTAAGTTACTATCACATATACATGTCTTATGAAAAAGCTCAACAGCTATAATTTGTCCCCGTTTCCATAATTACACCAACAAAAAAAAAACATTCAACGCTTACCTGTCTTTTACCATTTTCGTTCACCATTTGGATATTTGAACGAGATCGTAATACTAAAGCGTTGTTCACATAAATGTAGTCCTGGTTGTTTTTTCGCGTTTTTGTTATATACAGCGGTGGTGTTCCATCAAAGTCGGATGTTATTGTCGTTCCCAAGTGCTCCAACGTTACGGCCGTTGTCGCTAAAATTCAAATGAATAAGAAGAAGAGGAGGAGTAATTAAATTTTACGTCTAAAATATGTATATTTACAGCAACATTGTATGCGCACAATCTTAATATATAGCTTAAATAATATTAACAAAATATCAACTAAAAATTATAATGGACGGTTTTTTAATAGGTCTTTGTAATCTCTAGAGTGCACTCTGGAGGTTAAAAGGCTGGATTTACTTAAATGTCATACTCGTTTTAATAGCGATGGATGTATATGCGGCCGAGTGAATGCACTCATAAAAAATTGTTCATTTTCTAAAACACAATTTAGATTTTTCAATTTTCATTTACAACCGATGGTTAAAGTGACACGTCGACTGAATTTGTATAAAATCATGCGATTTTCACATCGATTTAATTTATATTGTTAAAACGATCCCATTTCATTGTTGAGTGTTGCCTTTAATTTGGCTTCAAACACATTCAACACTGTTTTGTATTCGATGTTAGAAACTTGCCAAAAGATTACAGTCTTCGCCTCTTAAATATTCGATGCAATTTTGTGTTCTATATAATGTTTGCACGAAAATGAAACGAATTTTGTAAATTGGGGTGATGTGTGAGAGATTTTAATATTTTGTCAAAGAAAAGTTGCCACCATATTATTTTCCAACTTGTACACTCTTTGGGGATATCTTAGTTGTACACTCACACCCACATCCATATATTCTAATCAGTTTTGAATTGTTTTACGAGCGACATTGGTGCTCTTTGATCTGAATAGTTTGGCGTGTTAGTGTTTTACGTGTGAAACGCCAAAGTCACTTAGTTGAATTGAAATGCTCAAGAAGCATCTCGTTAAAATTCGAAAAGACACTATCATTGGCATTCACATCATGTGTCTATGGTTTGTTTTCATTCGTGTTTTTTTTATATCTTTGGGGATGATGGTGTAAAAATGCATAAAAGAAGCAACAACATAAAATCACTAAAACGAATCAAACAAATCAGCAATGCACATAAACATGTGCATACTTTGTGTAAATATCCAGAAATTCGAATTTTCCACGAACGATCCAAGAAGAAGAGTTAGTAGAATCTGTAGATGAGTAAATCCAGTGTGCATGTAAATATGAATGTGTCTGTGTCAGAATGTGTTTACCCACAGCCTTTCATCTAATGTATATGAAAAAAAATTGCTTAAAAGCCATGACTTATTATGAAGTAATATGGTAACCGCATAGAAACCAAAACCATGACATTCTTTTATCGTATCAGGATATACTGTCTTAGTTGCATCATCAGTTGGTGTGCTTGTGTAGTTGAATTTTTTGGGGAAAATGCTCGAAGCAAAAACAAAACACACCAACGACAATAACTGCGAATGGAGGAGAAGAAAACAACCAATAATGCTTTGTGCTAGTTTTTGCTGAAACTAGGACAGTATTCTATGGAAGCGAACAAGTATGTATAACAAATCATATTGGTCATATATAGAAATGACGTTGCTTTTTGACTGCTAACGTACCACTTCATTCGTTGTTCACTTGTGCCATAAAATAAGCTTCGTTCAACAAAATAAACTTTGGGCTGTAATTCTCTTTATTTGTGCATCAAGTAGTATTGTCGTCATTCGCAAAAAGCTGACTATGTTCAACGCTGTTTTTTTTTTCTCTGCTATTGTTGCTTGCTGAAACTCAATTCTATATCTATCGTGTATATATTAAAGAATCCAAAACTCTTTCAAAATCCAATGCATTCACACCATTCATACATAATGATAATGTCGAGTTGTATAGAATTTATTGGTTTTAAAAAAAAGCGTCCAAAATGTTGCAGTTCGAACAAAGTTTTTTTTTTTTAAAGAGATGTGACTCTGCACTTAGTTCGTTTACTTTGACATGGCGGACACATCAAATAATTCCATTGGATTCGTACAGAAATAAAATCGTGTTTATTATTCGTTCTGTTTGCATAAGCATGAATTCGCGTATATTTTAATGTTTGCAGACTATTTAAAAATCTAACATCAAATCATGGATTTTGACCCGTATATATGTTCAATCAATTCGTTAGTATTAAAATATTCATAAAAAATAATGTTATAGCTAAATTGAATTCGGTGCGTTTTCATGTGTGAATAAGCTTTGAAAAAATGAGGGCTGAATCAGTTTAAATAAAAAAAATTTCAGTCGACTTGACGAGTAAAAAGATTTTATAAATATATAAGCAGTTGACATTCCGCATCTCTGTCACTATGTATGGTTTGTCCAAAGGAAACATTTTAGTAAAAATAGTTTTCCTTTTTTTCCATCGTATCGGAGATGTTGATTCTATTTTTGCTGAGCCACATCATCACAAAAGGAATAAATGGCTTCACATTCTACAGAATGAAAACCGTTTTAACTTTATTCACTTGAAGGAATTTTTCACCCCAAAACAAACGATTTTATCTTTTTGGCAATGGAATGAAGTCCACGAATTCGGTATATGCATGTGTGCGTCCGTGTGTGTGTGTTTGTATTCAACAGAAAAGAAATAACCAAAAAATGTGCTAAGAGTGAATTTATTTTCATTTTTCGAGGCAACATTTGTAATATGCTTAAATCGCTCAAATAATTCACGTGAGTCACTTTTTCGCATTCGCATTGTTCTACGATGGGGCAAAATATTTGCAAACATCTGGATTTAAGGAACTCGAAAATGTGCTTGCTGCACATACATGCTGTATGTGTGTGTGTGTGTGTCGTCGACGTGCTTGAGCATTTTCATTTTTGAGACGATCTAAATTTGTTTGTGTTATATAATTACAATGCAGTGTACTGTGAACTGGAAGCATTCGCCTTTGTACACAAACTTCTATATTATGCTCTTAATTTGAAATGATAATATAAAGTTGCACGTTTCTTTATAAAATATACAGTACACAGAGTACACTGAGCACAGTATACGGGCATCGAATGGAAAAGGTTGCTTGTGAAGGGGTATATGTATGTCATTTGTTAGTGTACTCCTTTATTTTCAAAAAAAAAATGCAGTAACACTCACCACATCTAAGACTAATTAAAATGAACATCAAAAGAAGTGAGAGAGAGACCTTTATACTTGGTACTTACACATGTGGTACTGAACTTGAATGTTGTCGTTATGCTTTTGGAAGGCTTCATTGGTTGGAGCAAATATTGTGAGAGAACGCAACTGCAAATTTGACATCGCTATTTTATTCCGTTCGATCAATTCGTAGAACTGAAAAGAAGAAAAATGATTAAGAAAAAAAATATATATAAATGGTGTAAAAAAAAACTTTGTTGTTATTATAAAATATATGTATGAATTAACGAACAACAACAAAAAAAATAATTTCAAAGTATTCATGAACGTCATGGTTGTTGACACATGCATTCATCTACGAACAGTAAGGCAACTCGGCAATGAACTGATGAAAGTATCGTGCGAAATGGTGCATTTGCCATGAATTTCCCATTTTAATCACAATTGTAACATTTTATGTCAATTATTTGAAGTAGCTTCTGCGTTATTTTCCGGTCTTGTTCATATTAAACTTATATGTATTTGGCTTTGATCTGATGGAGCAAAGATAGGAACCCATTTGTTTTATTTACTTATTTGACATAATGTTTATGTCAGTTCATTTTTGTTTTTCATTTTACAAAATATATGTATTACCAACAAACATTAGTTTATGTTGTGAACAGTTCATTTAAAATAGAAAATCTGTTGTCAGAAATATCGTTCAGAACAACAGCAAAATATGCAACGTTATTTACTTTTATTATATGCACACAAGAAGAGAACTTTATCTAATTTTTGGCAAAGCAACATAAAATAGAAGAAAAAAAGAATGTTCACTGGTTGAGCAATATTTACCGAATTTCATCCGGATAAGAAAATAGTTTGATCATGTAAAACAAACCGGATAATATATTATTGAGACCGGTTTAAATCAATGTCACAATGCCATTTATCGAAATCATGACACTCTGTTCTCATAATTTGACCACAAATCAGATAAGTTTTATCTTAATGTTGCGTGTCAATATGTGACTGCATGTCACTTTTAGCTTAAGAATTCGATAACATTTTTTCGATAAATAATAGTCCTATATATATCGAATTTCCCATTTTTATTTTTTACTTTGGTTAAGCATTTCGTTTCATCATCAAAAATGCCATCAATTCATTTTATATGTAATGTAATTTTTTTCTGTAAAGTGCAGAGGGTAAAATGTTGTTGAACAGATATTTATATAGTTCAGCATAAGTTATCCAAGCAGAATTGATTTGAGTGAGTGCGTTGGCCGAGTGTTCAAGTGTTTACTGAATGTCAATTGATAATAAAGCTCATGAATCTTGAGCTCACCAAAATAAGGGTTACAATTTTCTTTGGCTCTAGAACTGAAATCAAATGGCTGAAGTTGGTTTGTGTGAGTTTTTTTTTTAATGTTCTGTCTCTCGTCTTGAGACGATAAGAACGACATTTAATTTCACTCAAGCTCAAAAGACTTAGTTGAAAATAGTTTTATGTTTTTTTGTGTTGTGGTTTTTGCTTGCTTTTGCGTGGTTAGTTTCAATTAAATATAAAACAAGATGGAGGAACCGAAAATACCTTACACGTAATTAGCACGAACCATCTAAATTGAAGCAGTTGTTTGGCTTTGCTTCGTCAGTAATGAGATTCAATTATCTATCCATCTATATATATTCAAACAAGTGTACACACAAACACTAATTCAGATTCGGTCAGTGGCTTTCGTATCGACTACCAAATAAAGATGTCTCTTGAAAAACTTAGCTGACATTTATAATAATTGATTGCAAGCGCAACCACATTTACTGTCCATTAGATTGTTGATTTTCACTGTAGCACCGCTTCTATTTATTTACCGGAGTGATTTATAGATTGATGTACGGTTTGTTAATTCCAATTGCGCTATTCGATAACTTTTTGCCGATGCATCAGTAAGCACTTCAATCGAATCAATTATTACGTGAACATGTATACGGCATAGTTTCGTTTGATTGTCAATCAAAACCTATTTGGCTTTAGATTATTATCACAGAGTGAAGGGGAAGTTAGAGAGAGAGAGAGAGATAGAGAGAGAGAGAGAGATAGAGAGAGAGAGAGAGAGCATCAATCAAAGATTGAGCGTAAAGACAATGGAGAGAGAGAGAGAGAGAGAGAGAGAGAGAGAGAAAGAGAGAGAGAGATTGAAAGAGAGAGTGGAGCACAAATAGAAAGATCCAGCATTGGAATAACATTCAATATTTATCAATGCCGAAATCATGATTGGCCATCGTCAATATTCGAATCGGTTGGGGAGTCGTTTTCTTTTCGATACAATCGGCGCCTTCAATGTCCATAAATTTCGATTGGTACATTTATTATCACATTACATTTTGTATTCGGTCCATGACTTCCAATGGCATTGATATTTATAATTCCGTTGAGAAAATTCTGGTAATTCCGTTTGTTTACCGTTTGCAAGTGTGCCATAATTCCAATTTGAAATGACAAGTCAAATGTCCGTTTATGAATGGCCGGAGGTTTTGAGCTCGTTTGGGTTATGCGTGCTTCTATAACAACAAAAACCAACATCTTCAAATACTACAAAGAAATCTCAGTGGAACATTAACATCAAGAAATTGCATGGATACATTGCGGTTATGCGCTCTTTGTTCAAATGCTACCACCATTTTTTTGCATTTTTTTAACGCATGAAATGTATTTATTTTTAAATCTTATTCTTTGTTTGTTATGTGAGATAATTGTTTTGCAATATTTACATTCACTCGGGGCTTTTTGTTGGCAAAACCCGATTCTCGTTGCACAAATATTTTATTCATTTACAAAACCGAAAAAAAACACATCCAGAGAAAAAACATAGAAAAGAATCAGCTTCGTTTGCTACTGTAAGATAAACAGAAGACCGGTAATTGATTTCGCGCAGCTTGAACCAAAATACATTGCAATCGGCATCTGCTTGAAAAGAAAAAATTAAGTAAGAAAACCCATTGCAATTGAAATCACAAAACGGAAGGCAATCGCATAAACCGTTTTTGTAAATCGCCTACGGCTCAATTTTATTTTTCTCATTTATTTCTGGATATGAAATTTCATTACAATGTCTGTCATCTATTTAGATTGTGATTGTGCATTTCTTTGTGGCATTATGTATGTTTTTCTTTACGATACTTGATTTTCATCATGGAAATTTGATTCTCTGTTTGGCATGAAGATTCTCTTCATTCAACTGGAAATTAAAGTGTTTGAATCGTCTAATGAAGCGAATTCGAGTTATTCGATTTCTCTGACGTTATTGACAAATCAAAATCAGGCGCCATTGAGGTTTCTAACCAAAACTTCTATTATAATTGCTATTAAGTCTTTTGATACAGCAACGACGTAAACTTTGTAAATTACCAAAAGAACAGGTATTTGTGTATGTGGGAGTGTGGATGTCCATATACCATCTATAATAAACCAAACTGGTATATATTTGACATGGAAAAGTTGCTCTCGTTCAATCAATATGTTTTGGCTTGGCAATGAGAGAATGGTAAAATGTTTCAATTTAAACAGAAAATGGATCGTGAGATATTTTATGCATGTTTGACCTGAGGATAGGTACTGGTAAACATTTTATACGAACACACAGACACTCTTCACTTCTAAAAAAGTATACACATTGCAATGGTAAACCTTTTGAAATGAATATCGATATTCGTTGAGCGTTTTACGCGTGATGTATATTTGCATTTACAATATGTTATCGGTGTAAATAATATTATGGGCTGCAATTGATATTGAAACATTTTGAAAGGGATAGGCAAAAGTAAATGTTTACGACGATATGTATGTAATATACAGAAAGTATGTGAACGTATTCAAATATTAAACAATACGAAATGCAAATATCAAAGCAATATTCGAAGACTTCAAAAATGCTGCTACACTTTTCTCAACAACAACAACAACAACAACAGCAGCAGCAGCAGCAGCAGCAACAAAAAAGGCATCCAAACATTGATCAAGTAACAGGACATACAGGATTCGATGGCATGAAACGTATACAGCAACATATGCTATTTGAACACGACAACGTTTGTTTGTATATTGACATCAAAATGCAATAAATGTGCATATGGTGCATCAATATTTAATGGAATTTCATTCCGGTTCGCATATAATGCTTAATAAAATATATCGTATGGCTTTCGCACACTCACACCCAAAGTCGGAGTCAGTGCAACGAGCCGTACTCCACGTTTGAGCAACCGATTTTTATAGCATGCAATATTTAATATTAGCATTTCGCTATAAAAGTGAGCGAATCGGATGAATCATCATATCTACGCAATTTCCGTCATGTTTATTGTTTTTGTGAATGTACACACACGAATGTGAACGCGCGCGCGCACGTTGTGCGTATATAAATTGCACTTGATGTGACAGATAGAATAGAGAAATTCTTCGAGCGAAGAGAAGCTAAAGATCGAGGTGTGTCAGCAAAACATTAAACTTGACAGAGAAAATTGAATAGAAATTTGAGCAACCACCCATATAAATTGTTTTTGTGAGAATTCAACTAAATATTTAATATGGATGAGCTAGATTACTTGAATCAATCTCCTTTTGCTACATCCTTCCGTCAACTGGTTGCATAAATGGCTCGAATTGATGAAATTCATGCATGCAACGTTTCATTTAGCTGATTGTGTGCGTGTGCGTGTGTACGTGGACTATAGAATTAATTTTCTATTTGCTTTGCAATAAAACATGCCTGGCCATTTACTTCGGATATAATTCAATGATTGCCGTTGTGTGTACAGCAGTAACACTTTTCGATTTTGTGCTTAAAGTTATGTATGCTATTCATTGCTGTCGATGTGCAGCAAACCAAGGTTACAAGCATTTTAAATTCAGATTTTATAACAAACATTTTCTCTTTTTCTCTATCTGCATCTCTTTTTATCGTTTTCTCATAAACACATGTTAGCCCAGCCACATAAAAGAGCACCAATAAGATAACAGATAAAATTATATTTATAAATATTGTTTTAATGGTGCCCATTTAATAAGAGCACCGAAATTAAAAGTTGAGCATAAAAGTTTATCGAAAGGATAAAACCGGTCTAAAACGACCATGTTCATCAAGAAATTGCAGCAAAAAATGAATTTATATTTAATTTCATGTTGCATTTCAAAATGTGATTTAAAACTGATT